ACGGTATGGATGTGACCCATTTGTGAGTCATTGATTCCATTCTGTGAGTCATAATGAACTTTATTTAAAAGCAAAATAAAATATAAAATATCGAAATGCTTTGCATAGATCCTCTGTTTGAAATATGTAGGTAAACGTCAATATCCTAGAAAGGTATCTGATGGGAAGTAGATGATGAATATAGTGCATGCCGGCTAAGAAGGGGTTTTCAATCATTTGCTAGTGGGTGTCATTTGACTTTCATAATAGCAACTGTGGGTGCACTCTATTTTCATATTATGATTTACAACTAGAAGTAAGGTCTTGAGACATTCAGTTGAGATTCAGTTACACGTGCTGAGTATATTTTTGATAACAGTATAGAGGCTCTATGGTTTGGGGGGTTAGAGATTATTTTAATCAGATTGGAACAAACTGTTTAATTGGATCATTTCTTTATTAAAAGAAAAGGGAATAGGGGCTGGGTGCTGGTGGGTCTCACCTGTAATCCTAGCTACTCGGGAGGCTGAGATCTGAGGATTGTGGTTCAAAGCCAGACTGGGCAGATAAGAGTCTAGAGACTCTTATCTCCAATTAATAACCAAAAAGCCAGAGTGCAGCTATGGCTTAAGTGGCAGAACATTAGCCTTGAACACAAAAGCTCAGGGATAGTACCCAGGCCCTGAGTTCAGGCCCCATAACTGACACATATATACACACAAGAAAGGAATAATGAAACATGCAGAAACTTGTTCAAGTTCAACTAATGGATCTGACAATATTGAGAATATTGACACTAATCTTCTAACTCCAACTTCATTTGAACCTCATTTCAAAAGGAAAAAATATAAGCTATTATATGAAGATTACTCAAAATATGTTTTGTTTTGTTCTGTTGCCAGTCCTAGGGCTTGAACTCAGGGCCTGGGCACTATCCCTGAGCTTCTTTTGCTCAAGGCTAGCAGCACTCTACCACTTGAGTCACAGAGCCACTTCTGCCTTTTTCTATGTATGTGGTACTGAGGAATTGAACCCAGGGCTTCATGCATGCTAGGCAAGCACTCTACCACTAAGCCACATTCCCAGCCCCAAATATGGTTTTATCAAATGTGAAAACCCCTTTGAAAAATGACAGACCTCAGCGTGTTATTTGTAATAATGTTCTGACCACGAAATCTTAAAACCTCCATAGTTCAAAAGGTAGTTAGAAACTCAGCAGCAAGCTGAACTTACTGGTAAGCATCTTGAATATTTTTTTTTAAAAAAAATAAAAAGAAATGTTGTTGGCTCTGGTAGTCATCCTGTGGTGGCCAGCATTACAACTGCTCAGGTTCCACCAGGCTGCCTGCATCTCAGTCACCCTGACCTGGCCTAACAAATAACACCAACCCCCTCACAATCAATTTCCCACTCACTCCCTGTTACCATCCATTTCCCATACACAATACAGACTCCCATTTCCCCATTCCTACAGATTTACTTCCTACTTCATTCCTACAGGTTCACTCCCCTATAATTACCCAGGATAAAAGCAGTTTTTCTGACATCAAACCTTTTCCTTCCCTGGATGTGTGTGTAGTGTGCTTTATTCGGTAGAGACTTCTAACAAAAGGTATTAGCACAGTTTCTAAGAAACACAGTTTCTTAGTTGTTTTTCTACTTTTAGTGAGAAATATTTAATGTGGAATCTATCTGTAGCAAAAGAAAAAACTATCCCCCACAGATACTGAAAACTTATTCCAGAATGTTTGGATATGGTGTGCACAATGTTTGATAAGTTGGCCAATAAATTAAAAACTACACCTGCTACTGCAGAGCCTTTAGAAACACTGCTTATTAGTTGGTGGCAGTCTGGTATAGAATTTGTAATTCAACTTGATGAATTTGCACAACACTTATTTTATATTGTTGTAAGATGAGAAAACAGAGAAGGTTGAATCTTGGAGTCTTTATTAAAAGGCTGGAGACTCATGGTAGACTCCTGTCTCAAAGAGGAGCAGCCAGAAAATACACTTAACACTGTTAGCAAACTCAGCCATGAAGGCTAGAGAGGAAAGAAGAACAAAAACAATGCCAACAAATCAGATATGAGTGATGAGCTCATTTTATGGAGGATTTTTTATGGTTCTTAATTTAACCTAACATTTAAGTGGACTAGATATTTTTACAGAATTAGAAAGGTGCATAAGTGTTGATCATTACAAATGAAAGTGGGGAAATGGTAAAGGCATTAAAAGTGATGGTACAGCAAGCATAACTGGGAAGCAAAAGCACAGTGATCGAAAATAAAAGCTACCAGTGACTAATAATGGTGCCACATAGAATCACTGAAGCTTGAAATCCAGAGACCTTCCACAGGATATTATAGATCCTTATAGAACTATGTGAAACTGCAGTAAAGGTCACTAATCTTATTAAAGGGAGCTCACTTATTAACTAACTTCTTGAAACATACTGTTCAAAAATTGGAATCAGTCAGACCCATTTACTCAATCACACCAAAGTCATTGGTTCTCAAGGGAAAATACTAATTGGGTTTATGAGTGCACAAATGAGGTTCATAATCTTAAGGGGGAAAATCTTATCTTGCAAACATTTTTGAAGATGAGTGATGAAGTAATGAGTACTTGAGTCATGAAATTGGCATATGTAACCAATATGTTTGGAATTATGTTAACTGAATTTAAAAGTTCAGCAGAAAATCTGTGATGCATTCCAACATGTTGAAGAGATCCAAGTATTCCAGAAGATGCTGTAGCAAGCAAGACTTAAAAGTAATTGTCTTAGCAGGATGCCAGTGGCTTATGCCTATAATTCTAGCTACTTCAGAGGCTGAGATCTAAGGATCATGTTTCAAAGCCAGCCCCAACAGGAAAGTCCATGAAACTCTTATCTCCAATTAGTTACCCAAAAGCAGGAAGTGGAGCTGTAGCTCAAGTGTAGAATGCTAGCCTGGAGTAAAAAAGTTCAGGGACAGCACCATGTCTGAGTTCAAGCTCCAGGACTGGCACCAAAAAAAAAAAAAAAGTAATTGTCCAAGACACTACATGTTTCTACAGTTTTTTACAACATATTGAAGAGATTGTTATTAATGAAGAGTTTTGAAAGAAATGAAACCAGATATATTACTGCATCTCACTTCACTGTCTCAAACTTTAATCATTTAACCTTTTTTTTTTTTTGGGGGTCGGTCATGGAGCTTGAATTCTGGGCCTGGGCGCTGTCTCTCAGCTCTTCAGCTCAAGGCTAGAGCTCTACCATTTGAGCCACAGCGCCACTTCTGGTTTTCTGGTGGTTTATTGGAGATAAGAGTCTCACAGACTTTTGTGCCCAGGCTGGCTTTGAACCAGAGTAGCTCCCTGAGTAGCTAGGATTACAAGCGTAAGCCACCGGCGCCCAGCTCACTTTTTTTCTAGAACAGAAATTGGATATATTGGAGGAACATGAAATTGGTTAGCATATTAATTTGCTTTTCAAGACTCTGAATCAGTAACAGAGTTAAACTTAGTGTTTCACTCTCACAAAGACAATGAATTATAGCAACTTACTTGTACTTATGCATTTAAGAATGATTATGACACCTTAAAGTTTGTCAGCATTTTTTACTTTCTTTTGCTTTGTAGAAGAGTATCTTTCTGTTTCTATCATTCACAACCAGTTTGTGTGAACTAGAGTTTTCAATCTTAACCCAGTTAAAATTGAAGGAAGAAGCAGGTCCAATGGTGTAGCAGATATGTGAGTAGCATTATCTTTCTGTGTTCCAGACTGAAATGAATTTATCAACAGACAAGCACTGTTATTCATACTAATGAAGATCTTATTGGTTTTGTTTTGTCAGTTCTGGCACTTGAACACAGGGTCTGGGTGCTGTCCCTGAATTCTTTTTGCTCAAGGCTAGTGCTCTATCAGTTTGAGCCACAGCTCCACTTCTGGTTTTCTGGTGGTTAATTGGAGATAAGAGTTCCACAGACTTTCCTGCTTAGGCAGGCTTTGAACCACAACCCTCAGACTCAGCCTCATAAGTAGCTAGGATTACAAGTGTTAGCCACCAGCTCATTTTTCATTTTATATTTTATAATGTTACTTTCTAATGTTTTAGGTTATATTTAAATACTAATGTAACATTGTTCATAATTCATTTGTTTTAATGTTCTTAAATATTAATAAAATCAAGTGATTTCCTATTTTTAAAAAAGGTAAGAGTCATTGCCTAGGTCCTGACTTTAAGCACACACACACACACACACACACACACAGAGCCAGAATTACCTTCTGCATCAACCTCCTCCCACACTGCTCTAAGTGCTCCAGACCACTGGCCTCCTCCATGTTCCTTCAAAATGTCAGATAAATGTCTACCTTCTGAACTTTGCACTTGCCATCCTGTTTGCCAGAAGCACCTTCCACCTCAAAGCTGCCATCTCTCTTCTAGGATGTTTGGTTTTGTGGTTTGGTGCTGGTGATTAACCCAAGGCCTGTGTGCTAAGCAAGAGCTCCACCACTGAGCTACCTCAATCCTTCCCCAACTCCCTTCTCATCTCCAGTTCTTTGTGCTAGAGTTGCCTTTTTGTGAAAAGCTTCTCTGGCCACCCAAACAACACACACAGGATTTCCAATCATACATATCTAGCTAGACCTTATTAGTTGGGTTTTATGAGAGGCCTTTGTTTTTTTGTTGTTGTTGTTGTTCTACCTGTCATTCACCAGGACACTTATGTCTATTTGATTTAGGCCACATCCTCAGTGTCTGGTACCCAGCAGCTATCTAATGAAGAGCAGAATCTGAGACAGAGAGAAATTTTGACTACCTGCCCAAGGGTCACAGCTGATAGGTGGCAAAAGTTGGGTTCAACCCGTTGGACCTGGAGGTTTTGCTAGGAGTCCCTTTACATGTGCCCACACAGGCACACCCTCAAGCCCCCCATCCTATCACGATCAGACTCAGGTCTGATCACCTACCCACCCAGGATCCCAGCCAATAAGCCCCGGCCTTACACCCAGGAACCACAGGTCCCACATACAGGAACTTGCCGTCTGTTTGCGCTCCAGAGTAGAGCTTGCGCTCGGCTTCCTCCCGCGTCAGGCTGCTGTGGTACCAGGGCATCCGCTCATGGGCCGTGGTGGCAATGAGCTTCTCCACCTGCGGGGCCTGACTGATGATGGCCTGCTCTAGGGCATCACCCTGGAAAAGGAGGGTAAAGGAGGATTCAAGTGTGGCCAAATACAGAGCCCCAGGAGCACTCACAGGTGCATCTCCTGGACTCTCCTGACTGCCCCATCCAGTAAGGCTACTCTCACCCACACTCTTCCATGCAGCCTCTAGACTGTGGAGGGCGGCTCTTACACCCTCTCCAAGGTCTCCTTCACCATTTGCGCAAGAGGCACCATGGCTCCCTCAAGCATGTCTCCAGCTTGAAGATCAGATGCGGTAGTTGGATGGTCTAGCGTAGTGCAGGCTATAGAGGACTAAAACCCACTGCCCCCCTGGCTACTCAAGCTACTCCGCCAACACGCCTCATAGACAGCCCTCTCTGACTGGGTCTCCAGTCAGAGATTTTGGACCCGTCCAGGCCGAGAGCCCTTCTAGTCTGGTACAGATAGCTGTGCACCATAGCTCAGGCTATGGCACACTGTGGAGGACCACCACAGAGCCTGTTTCTCACAAACCCCTTCTATGTCCTGCCATCAACCTCACCCTCTTACTTCCAAATCCCACACCTTACCGCATTCTACAGGCAGAAAAAGAAAAAAAATCCCCCATACGCCCTCCTAAACTTTTCTCCCTGCCTGGCCCTGCCCCTGGGTCCACTCTGCCGGCCCCATCCTTGGCCCACCCCACAGGATCCGTCCCTGAATCCGACCCAGAGACCACTGGCCCCACCGGGGTCTGTCCCTCAATGAGGCCCGTAAGTCCGGCCCGAAGGCTCAAGGCCCCGCCCCCGGGCCCACTTCATAGGCTCCAGGCCACGCCTTCAAGTTATGTCCAAATGCTTTAGGCCCTGCCCCAGTATCCGCCCCACAATCCCCGGTCTCCTTCCTGGCCCCGCCCCCTGGCCCGCCCCTCAGCCCCCAGGCCCCGCCCCAGGCCCCGCCCCAGGCCCGCCCCCTCAGCCCCAGGCCCCGCCCCTGGCCCGCCCCTCAGCCCCCAGGCCCCGCCCCATGCCCGCCCCCTCAGCCCCAGGCCCCGCCCCGGCCCGTCCCCTCAGCCCGCAGGCCCCGCCCCCAGCCCACGCTCTCACCTCCAGCTTCCACGTCTGGCGCACGTAGTCCCGCACCATGGCGTCGCGCAGACAGTCGAAGACGCCGGTCTGCGGCTCGAGGCCCGCCGGCCGATTGCACGGCTTGCGCAGTTTGCAGGGAAGGCCGTCTGGGTCGTGCGAGTAGAACTCGCAGAGCTCGGCGGGGCCGCAGTGAGCCTTCCCGCCCGCGATGGCGTAGGTCCCGTTGAGCTGGCGCTCGATGGAGAAGTGGTGGAAGCGCACGTCGTGCACCAGCGACAGCACGTAGCCGCCCAGCGAGCGCAGGCACTGGCGCAGCAGGAAGAGCCCGTCGGCCATGCCCGCCAGCTTCAGGTGCTCCTCGGCCTCGGCGCGCGAGATGCAGCCGTAGAAGAAGGGCAGGTGTCCCGCGGGGTCCGGCATCGCCGCCCGCGCAGGCCCTGTGGGTGCGGAGGGGCGGGATGCGCATCAGGGCCCTCCCTGCCCTTCCTGAGCCCGTCCAGCGGCCGAGAGCCTGCTTTGCCCGCGTGGAGAGGAGCCAGGGCTTGCTGGACATAGCTGGACACAGACGGCGAGTTCCAGACCCACCTCTGACTTCAGCGACCTGCTGCAGATACCTCAACTGCTCTCTTTGCTACCGCACCTGAAACGATCTGGCCATTTCCTAAATGCGTGTTGAATGCTTTACTGTTTCACACCCGGGGCTGAGGATTGACTCTCCCGGGCACACTGGGTCCCTCCCTGCGCTCCTGAAGATGAAACTTTAAAGGGGAGGGGCGGGGGTAGGGAGAGGATGCAGGGGCAGTGGGACAAAACAAGCAGAACAGTTAAGATCGTGATTCCAAAGGAGAAAGAATGTTAGTTCAGGAGAGATTGGAGGTCACCTTCTCGGAGGAGGTATATTTGAGCCAAGATCAGAAGATGGATCCAGCTTTTTAAAAAAGCCCCCTCCCCATGGAGTGGGGGAACATAAAGCAGAGGAACAGCACGAGCAAAGGGACCCGAGGCCCAACAATCTTTGTTCATGAGAGCTACCTTGCTCAGCCTTATAGTTGCCGCTTGCCTTGCTCTGTACACTCCTTAACAGAGCATGAGCTAGTCTGAATATCCATCAATAGGGGATGCCTTTGATATATTAGGGTTTAACTCCACCAGGAACCCTGATACCACCGTTAAAATGAAGCCTATGCAAGTAGCCTGGTAGTCACGTTTGGTAGCCCCAGCTACTCAGGAAGCAGAGACCACAAAGATCTTTATCAATCAGGCAAATGGTAGAGTAATTACCTAACAAGTGAAAGGCCCTGTGTTCAAAATCCAGTTCTGTCAAAATAGCAAGTAAATGAGTGATATCTGGGATTAAGGGAGGAGGAAAGAAAAGGAGAAGAGAGGGAGAGAAAGAAAAGAAAAAAGAACAATGAATCTGGAAAATAAGGAAAATAAAGTGGTCTTCCTTAAACTTTCTGGAGTGATGGTGATGTCCTTTATCTTTGATGGAGAGTGGATCTCACAGGGGCCTGTTATAATCCCTCCCATAAAGCACCATAAAATAATGCTTGTAAGTGTAGGCTGTGATGCATTCTGATGACTGAAATTGACTTCAAAAGGCATCTAAAATATAACGAAATATAATGATTACAAATGGAAGGATCAAGAGATATGGATGGATAATAGGTAGCAGATAGTTATATAAATGTTTCAATTTGTGGTGTGTGTGTGTGTGATGATGATGATGCAACTCACGCCATACCCTTAGCCCTTTTGCTTTTGTTGTTTTTGAAATAGGACCTTCTACTTAAATTGTCCAGTATAGCTGCCACAATGGCCAGTTTCTTCTTCTTCTTCTTCTTCTTCTTCTTCTTCTTCTTCTTCTTCTTCTTCTTCTTCTTCTTCTTCTTCTTCTTCTTCTTCTTCTTCTTCTTCTTCTTCTTCTTCTTCTTCTTCTTCTTCTTCTTCTTCTTCTTCTTCTCTTCTTCTTCTTCTCCTCCTCCTCCTCCTCCTCTTCTTCTTCTTCTTCTTCTTCTTCTTCTTCTTCTTCTTCTTCTTCTTCTTCTTCTTCTTCTTCTTCTTCTTCTTCTTCTTCTTCTTCTTCTTCTTCTTCTTCTTCTTCTTCTTCTTCTTCTTTGTCGGTGTGGGGCTTGAACTCTGGGCCAGCTTCTTTTGTTGAAATGGAATCTTGCCAACTTTTGTCCACACTGGCCTCAAACTACTGTCCTCTCAGCCTCTACCTCCAAAATAGTTGAGACTACAGACATGAGTCACCATGCCTCACCATCCCTCACTCAATTCTTAGGATTCACAATAACTCTGTAAAATCACTGTAAACACTGAGTTAGCCAAATACTGAACCATTGCTTCTAGAGGAAATACGGATTTGGGTTCCTGCACTACTCTGATCACATTTTCATCAAGTGATCAAAATGTAATTATTTTATGTGGGTTTTATGTCACTTTATGTTATACATTGTTAGGCCTAGGGATGTAGCTCAGTGGTAGAGCGCTTGATTGGCATGGACTTGATCCTCAGGACTAAAAGGAAAAAAGAAAACTTTGGCAACATATAATTGTTGGTTTATTAATACTGCCTCTCTGACCCATGTCTGTTCCATTAGGCACAGCTTAGCACTATACTTGGGGACATGTGTGTGTGTGTGTGTGTGTGTGTGTGTGTGTAGGTGTGCCAGTACTGGGGCTTGGATACTGTCCCTTAGCTTTTTTGTTCAAAGCTAGTGCTCTACCACTTGAGCCATGCCTCCTCTTCTACTTTTTGTTGATTAATGCGAGATAGGAAGCTCATGGACTTTACTGCCTGATCTGGCTTTGTACTGTGATCCTCAGATCTCAGTCTTCTGAGTAGCTAAGTTTACAGATGTGAACCACCAGCAGCCAGGACTTAGGATATTTTATTCACCAGCAAAAAGTACAAAATTTCCAGAAATGTTGCTCCAGATTGGTGGTTTAAAAAGCACATATTTGATAGAATGTTTGCCTAGCATGTGCACGGCTTCGAGTTTGATTCCCTAATAACTTAAAAAATTCATTTAATTACAGAATGAGGTATGAAAAAAAGCCAGAGCCCCACGTTATTTAACCTCAGTGGGGATGTGTGCATCAGTGACTCAAATGTTTTTCCTTTGTGAATGCGTCTGCAGATGACCAAAAACCACTATACTAGTTGGAGGATTACAAATAAATGTTAGTTAGCAAGTGCATGAATTTGAAGCTGTAGAATCTGTGAATAATGATGTTTATCTTCTGTGATAAGTATTGCACATAGTGTAGGAGCTAGGGTAAAATTCTGTATATAACAGGAGTACTTTTCTTTTCATTTTCTGTATACTTGCAAGTTTTTTGTATAATGCTGGGGAAGAAAACCAGCTCCTTATAACAATGACCTATTGTCTCTCTAAGTTAGGCCCATCAAGGCCACCAGGACATAAACTATGTTTGCAAGATGTCTTCTCAGTAGTGCCAATGTAAATAGAGGCCGGGTGCTGGTGGCTCACACCTGTAATCCTAGCTACTCAGGAGGCTGAGATCCGAGGATCTCAGTGGCACTGTGGCCCAAGTGGTAGAGCTATGTCTTTGAGCTGAAGAGCTCAGGGACAGCGCCCAGGACCAGAGTTCAAGCCCCACTACAGACAAAAAAAAAAAGGTAAGTAGAGAATGTATCAAAAGGTTTGGTGGGTGAGGAAAGGTGCCTTTTGCCCTGGTGTCCAGGGGCCCCCAGAGATGGGTGCTGGGGCCAGAGGAAAATCCTGGAATGAGAATCAGGCCAAGTCTGAGTCAGGGCACTGGAGGCTGCTGACTAGATGTCTCTGATGCTGGTGTTACATGGGCCTTGAGGGGTCCTGAATGTCCCAAGTTACCAGCAAGTGCTCCAGTGACCACAACTCTGCCTCTGTGTTTCCATCTGTAGCAGTGTCTAAAATGAGTGTTTTTAGCTGGTTGTGGTTGTGTACACCTATAATCCCAGAACTCAGGAGGCTGAGACAAGAGGATCCAGGAATTCATGGCCAACCTGGAAAATAAAATAGCTAGGTACCCCATGGCTCAGGCCTATAATCTTAGCTACTCAGGAAGCTAAGACCTGGAGAATTATAGTTCAGAGTCAGCCCAGGCAGAAAAGTCTATGAAACTCCCAAATTAACCAGCAAAAATGTACAGCCGGGCACCAGTGGCTCATGCCTTAATCCTAGCTACTCAGGGGGCTGAGATCTAAGGATCAAGGTTCAAAGCTAGCCCAGGCAGGAAAGTCCATGAGATTCTTATCTCCAATTAACCACTAGAAAACTGGAAATGGTGCTGTGGCTCAAGTGGTAGAACGCTGGCCTTGAGCTGAAGAGCTGTGGGACAGCGCCCAGGCCCAGAGTTAAACCCCATGACCAACCAAAAAAAAAAAAAAAAAATGCTGTAATGTCACTCAAGTGGTAGAGTGCCAAACCAGCAAAAGAAGAAAACTGAGCAAACATAGAGCCCTGAGTTCAACTCTAGTACCAACAAAATAATTAAAAATAAAAATAAAGGAAAAGTCTTCCAAAAAAAGTGTTTTTTTTAAGAATCTGTTCCAGGAAGTGGCGCTGTGGCTCAAGTGGTAGCACACTCGCCTTGAGCTGAAGAGCTGAGGGACAGCACCCAGGCCCAGAGTTCAAGCCCCATGACCGACAGAAAAAAAGAAAAGAAAAGAAAAACACAGAAATGGAGCTGTGGCTCAAGTAGTAGAGTGCTAGTGTTGATCAAAGAAGCTCAGGGACAGTGCTCAAGCCCTGATTTCAAGCACCAGCACCAAAATAAATAACTAAAGGAGGAAAAGTTCAGTCTGTCTCCCACTCTACCTCTGATCCCGCCTTAAAGATGTTCTGCCCCCTCCCCACCTGCTCCCCAGCACCGATATCACCCTCCTTGAAGCTGGGTCCACCAATAATAGATCCTATGACCTTCCCCTCCTGCTTAGGCCTCGAAGATCTCTCTAGTCTTTAGCAAATACCCTGCTCTGGCTCCCCCAACTCCATTCCTTCCTGCTGACTCTCCTTCCTTTGCTTCCACTCCCAGATTCTCTTACTTGGTTATTCTGTCTGGCTATAAATGCTGCCACCCCCAGCTCCATCCTGAGATAGATTTGCACTGGAAGCATTAACTACCGCCACTTTGATCTCCACCCACTGTTTCTATGAATACAACTTGAGATCTAGAACTAGTTCACATGGTATCTGTGGTCAGCTGAACCCCAGTCAATTTCCACTTGAGCTACGTAAGCTGTGGGGTCTGCCAGGCGCTTCTAGATGATTCTTCCTCACGGCCTCCCTTCCTCAAGAATGTACTGTGGCTCTCACTTGCTTAATTCGTTGGATCTAAAATCCTCAGCTCTCTGTTTATTAGGCTGTGTCTGTTGCCTTCCTTCCAAACTCTTATCCAGAGTGCTTCCCCATTTAGTATTTCTTCCTCTCCCTCCTCCATCTTCCCAAGTCCAGCCGGCCCATCTTAGAAGACCATGAAGCTGCCCCCCACTGAGTACCAAGCAAGGCATCAGGGTAGGGGGCTTATCTGGGGCCTGTGGGGAGGGGTGGGTAATGAGGCTGGTGTCTGGGCCAGGAAGCTGTGGCAGGAAGCTGCAGTTTGCGAAGTTCCACCCCACAGTGGCCACAGGTGCACCCTGGGTAGACAGAAGTGAATTAGGGCAAAAGAGGAGCTGGGGGGAGGCTGACCTTCCAGGGTGAAGGCAACCCAGAGAAAGCTTATCCTGTGTACCTCAGCTTTACCTTCCCTGTCCCACTGTGCATGACAACCCTAATGATAACAGTACTAACAACCACTGTCCTGCCAGGCAGGCAGTACAGGAGTCAGCCAGCCCTGCTTCTGCATCAATCTCCCTCTCTAGCCTTTCTGCACTATCCTCGTTAGTAAAACACAGGGACCCCATGGCCAGCCACATGGAGAATGGCAGTGATAAACAGAGGAGGCAGAAGACAAAGGGCTAGGGGTAAGACACAAGCAGATCATCAGGCCACCTCCACCCCTCTGTAGGCCAGGCCTTCCTGGAGCTGCTGATCTCAGAAGAGCTGGGCCTATCTGCAGCTTCCCAGAGTGATCCATGACTCAGGGACCAGAGACCTGCAGCCTCTGGCCTTCCTGGGGGATGTATAACCTGGCATAATTGAGACACCAGGCAGCACTTGGATCAGGGGCCTTTACTTACTCCAACCCACCATTATTAACCTGTTCATCCCCTGGACGTAACCATGGCCACCTCTTCTTAAGCTCACTACTCCTACATCATCATTTGTCTTTGCCAGAATCAACAGCTTGCTGGATGGCTCCAAACATGGCCATGGATCCCTAGGCTTGTTCTGACAACTCTGGCTATTGGAGATGGCAGAAGCCTAAGATCATTAGCAGGACAGACCTGCGTGAAGTTCCACTATTCAAATGTCCTCTGGGGAATAGCGGTGTTACCCATGCCTGTCCCAGACCGACCTGATCCCAAACAGACTTCAAAATGAGACAGGACCAGATTGTCAAATATGCTTCAAATGCTGGGGGAACATTTCAGAGGGCTCTGGTTATATGACTTTAACTCCCATGGGTAGCAGACCTGGAAGGTCGACTGTTCCACAGAACATACTTTGAGCATCAAAAGCCTCAAATCAGTGCTTACCATGAGAACCATAGTTTGAAGCCAGTTCACAAAACAGACTGTGAAAGCCTTATCCCTTATCTCCCATTAGCTAGCAAAAAGCCAGAAGTGGGGCTCAAATGGTAGAATACTAGCTTTCAATGAAAAAGCCCAGCAAGAGTGAGAGGTCCTGAATTCAAGCACCAGTACTCACACAGCTCTGAGCTGAATCCTCAGGGGTTTCACGGCCCCATGCCCTAGATTGGCCAAGGTATAGCAGCAGCACTTTAAGCTATTGTTGACTATCAGGGCCTAGACTGTCAGGACCTGGGCTATTGAGGGGTCGGGAGCAGGTCCTCAAATTCATCACCCTCCAAGTGTCTCTCCACTCCACAGAGCAAGGCCAACTCCTCCCCCAACCTCTACTACCTGGGTCCTGAGAGCTATGTGACACCAGCAAGGAACTTTCCCCCTCTGAATCTGAGGCTCCGGGACAATAAAAAGGAGAGAAGGAATGGTAGAGTGAGCAAGAGGACAGGGCTTCCTTGGCTATTGTAAGGTATTCAGCAGCACACCTGGCCTCTGTCTACTGAGCATTAGTCACAGCCCCAAATAAAGACTAAGAATATCTCCAGGCACTACCAGAGGCCCTGGGATCTGGGGAGAAAAACTGGCTCCAGATCAGAAACACTTCCTTTCCCCTCTGTTCCTTGTACTAGGCCAGAAGGTGGTCAGCATAGAGTGGTTAGCACAGAGTGATCATTAGGGGTCTGGGTACTGCAGCCCACTGGAGAGTTTCTAGAAATTGGAGTTCAGAGCCTGAGAATGAGTGATAATCATTAAGATCATAGCAAAAACTAATACAGCACCTGCTATGGGCCAGGTGTCCTATTTATCTTCTCACTAATCCTCAAGAAAGACCAGCCAAGGGTGAGTAGGAAGGACGTGTAGGTCCAGAACCCAAGGCACAGAGAGGTGTGCATGGTCACACAGCTGGCAAGTGGCAGAGCCAGAACTCAAATCCAGCTCCCTGGTTCTAGAATGTAGACTTTAACAGCATGCCAGCTGTCCCTCCACCCAGCGGCCCTGGCAGGGCTTACATGGGTGAGGCTAGTAGAAAGGGGGAGAGGATGGAAAGCAGTCTGGAGGGTCCTTAGAAAGCTAAAGATTGACCTCCCTTACGACCCAGTCATACGACTTCTAGGCATCTACCCTGAACAACAGGAACCAATATACAAGGACACGTGCACCTCCATGTTTATTGCAGCACTGTTCGCAATAGCTAGGATATGGAAACAACCCAGATGTCCCACTATAGATGAATGGATCCAAAAATTGTGGTATCTATACACAATGGAATATTATGCAGCCATTAGAAATGACAAAATAATGGCATTTGCAGGGAAATGGATGGAGCTAGAAGGAATCATGTTGAGCAAGGTAAGCCAAGAGCAAAGAGACAAACGGTACATGGTCTCCCTGATAAGTGGATGCTAAATCCAAAATGTTAGGTGATACGACAAAACTAACAGGACTTAAGAAACAAAGAACTCCCACTCATCTGGTCAAACCACTACTAAATATCCCCATGCTGCTGATCACATGTATGGTGTATAACATGTGTACACCGTTATATGTTATAGACTGTGATAGACAATTTGCTCCAGGAAAGTTAGAATGAACTTGTGACTTTAAATGAGCATCATTATTCCACAATACTGTGAAATTCGGGAAATTATGTAATCACTTAATCACAATCAAAAACAAAGAACCTCAGGGAAGGTAGGGAGGGAAGGGATGGTAGGGGGGAAACGATGGAGGGGGTAACAATGCTCAATAGGAAGTGTACTCATTACCTTACTCATGTAACTGTAACCCTCTGTATAGTATCTTTACAATAAAAATTAATAAATAAATAAAAAGAAGAAAGGGGGAGAGGAAAAGGAAGCTGTAAATTAGTCCAGAAAGACTTCCAGGTGGCATCTAAAGACCTTCTTCCATCCTGTGAGCCCCTGACTATTCTGTCAGAAAACACCTACTACGTGCTCACTGGCCTAGCCAAGACAAGAGAGATGAAGCTCTTGAGTTACTCACCAATAAGCCTCTGTTTCTCCCTGCCAAGACTCTTCCCTGTCAGAGACACCTCTCTCAGCCTCTACCTCCGCACTTACTCAGTGCTCATATTTGAATCTGCATTTAACAGATCAAGGCTTTTAATAGATCAAGCACAAATCAAGGCTCTGACCAACCAAGAAACTTGCCAAGGACACAGCGTGATCAAGAAGAAATCAAGTAGTTGGTTCCTTCACCTCTCTGAGTCCTCCCAGATTGTAGGCTACCTGTGCTTGCCTACAAGAGACTTGAGTCTGCCCTGGGTCTCCTCATCAGCACTGCGCTGTTCAAATTAACAGCTCTGTTGAGCTAGCCTAGCATTCACAGGACCTAGAGTACACATTTGCTTTCTCCAGAGGTTTCTCTGCTTCCTGGAGCCAAAGATATGGTTCTAACCCAGCTCAGCAGGAGCCAGGGACTAAGCAGACATTTCTGTATCCCCTAGACACTACTGTGCTGTTGACCTTCTAGGAAGTGACCTACTACTTCCATCATGGCCACAGCTGTGTGTGTGGCCCTTCTGTCCTTCCCAGCAGCTTCCTGACTCATGTCTGACCCTCTGTCCTCCAAAGACAGGCCACCCCAGGGCTATGAGCCAAGTGCTGCCCCGTCTGGGCTTGACTTACCTGAAGATGTGCAGATGGCAGATGGCGCAGGGCCCCTGAAAGGCTGTCTGGTCCCTAACACCAACACAGGCCTACTCTAGGAAAAGAATTGAGGCCCACTTAGTAAACATGGGTTTCCTGGCTGCCGGAGCCCCAGTTTAAGAGCCACTGCAGATGCCCTGCCCTTCTTACACACACAGCAAGTGTAAGAAAGTCACTTCCTGCCAAGGTTCACACCTGGGGGAGGGGATCGCGCTCCAGGACCCCTTCGGGTGGCTGTGGTGACAGGATATGGTCTGAACCCAGTGGTGGCCACTCATCTGACTGGCCCAGTGGCAACACTAAGGTCCAAGCAGGACAGGGCTGGCCGGAAGGCCTGCTGTGTGGGAGCTCTCTCACCAGCAGACTAATATACAACTCAATGCATTTCTTTGATGTGAAGACAGGAAAGAAGGGTTGCATTTGAAGTGCATGGCAAAGTCACAAAGTGCTGTGTTCAAGGAAAATCACACGCCACAGGCTCTGGGGAGGGCAGAGGACATTTCCAGTGCCATGTAATATCTGCCTCAGCGGCATGTGGAGAGGGGCCGTAACGGAAAGGCTTACTGCAGGCTGGGTGGGTAAAATGAATAGTCGCCCCCAAACCTGAGCAGCAGAGAAAAGGGAGCCTAGATGTGCTGAAGTGGGGGTGAGGCCGCAGGATGGAAGGAGACCTCCAGGTCCCATGAAAACTGGAAAACACTCTCATCCCACTTTTCCCCCAAGGGGGTTTGGACGAGGGACTGCCCCTGGCTGAACCCCCAGAGGGGTGATTTATTTGTTTTACAGGCAGGTTAAAGCTAAATGGAGGGGCTGGGAAGGTAACTCAGTGGTAGAGTGCTTGCCTTGCATTCATGAGGCCCTGGGTTCAATTCCTCAGCACCACACAAGCAGAAAAAGCTAGAAGTGGCGCTGTGGCTCAAGCGGTAGAGTGCTAGCCTTGAGCTGAAGAGCTGAGGGACAGCATTCATGACCCATGATTGACCCCACCACAAAAAAAAAAGCTAAATGGAGGAGAAACCCACCGAACAAGGCCAAAAACTTAAAACTTCTGAGCTCCTTTGTGTGCCAGGCAGAGAGACAGCAGTGACTCCCTGTCTCTGTCCTCAAATGTCCTCAAATGAGAGAGTAGGGGGAGTGAGCTGAATCCACACATAGATGAGAGCTGGATGCTGTGTACTCAGAGGAGCCCCCTCATAGACTAGGAATAAGGGAAGGGCTCTACAAGGAGTCAGAGTCCAGATGCAAAGACAGGGAGACCACATCTCCCAGCCCTGTCCCACCCAGATTGACCCCACTCCTGGCCTCTCACCACTTCCTGCTCTGGCCACAGCCTCTTCCTCCTCCTCCTCTCCCTTCCCTTGTATTTGCCCACCCACCTCATATCCAGGCCTTTAGTGCCAAAGGCCTCCAGGGGCCTTTCTTCCCCACTGTTTCCTTGTCTCTTGGACACTTTGGGAAGTCTTAGCAGCTTGCCCACCTGTAAAACCTCACAAACAGGCCACTGTGGAGGCCCTCTAAGAACCTGTCTGCCCTGAGTCCTGCGGTCTACAGGGAAAGTGGACCTGACTGCCCAATTGCCTTCCAGGGACAGCTCCTTCCCCAGGGACTTCCTCCCCAGGTCTCTGCTAGATATTGCTGCTTAAGTCCCCCTCCCCATTCAGAATGGGGCTCTAGACTAGGGCTCTGTTCTTCTGCTCCAATCTTGGGAGACTATTTTTGTCTCTAGCTATCCTTTCTCTATAGGCATTGTACAACATGGGGTACATAAAGACCTCTCTGAATATAAGGTACACTTTATTGGGGATGAGAGAATAATATCTGGTAGACTGAAATCATATAGGCAGGCGCCAGTGGCACATGCCTATAATCCTAGCTACTCAGGAAGCTGAGATCTGAGGATCAAGGTTCAAAGTCAGCCCAGGCAGGAAAGTCCATGAGATTCCTATCTACAATTAACCACACCCCAAAAAAGCTGAAAGTGGAGCTATGGCTTAAGTGGTAGAGCTCTAGCCTTGAGCACAGAAGCTCAGGGATAGTGCCCAGGCCCTGAATTCAAGCCCTAGGATCAGCACAAAAATAAATAAATATTACATCAACTACCACAACAGTATTAATAGTAGTAGTAGTAGTAGTAGTAGTAGTAGTAGTAGTCATCGTCATCGTTGCCGTAGTAGTAGTAAGTGCCAAACAATGTTGCAATCACTTAATTAATAACCCAGTTCTTCCAGAGAGGGTAAGCAGCAAATAGCAGATGCCAAGTTGCCACACAGGATTGTCCTCATAGCCCATGCACTGGTGGACTTGGGAGAAAATGTTGGTTGCAGAATAACTTGGAGATGAGGGTGGATTCCCAGGATGTTGTTGCTGAGCAGGCTGCATACAGGCAAGAAGGGGTGGCAGCATTTGGGACATGTGGGATGGGATATAGCTGGGTGGGCAGGGCCTCTCAGTGTCTAAGGTCCCCTGAGCAGGGGATTCCCAGCCTCATCAACCACTGGCCCCTTCCTGTCTCAGAGGACACATCCTGAAACTGGAAATGTGTAAAAGAAGCCGAAGAATGTATCCTTATTGAGATCACAGGCAGATACTGAGATGAGATAAGGTCATCTGTTCCACCCTCGTGGGAGGAGGTAGATGCATCTTTAAATGTTCGGAGGAAGGGGCCAACGGATGGAAACGGCTGGGAGAGTTGATGTGCACTTGCACTGATGAGTTCAGGTAAATACCGTAAATAAAAGAACCTTGGAAGAAATTGCTGGCACACCTTCACACCTCCAGGTCTTTGTACACACTACGAACTTAACTGAACTCTCTTCAACTGCTAGACTGCTGGTCCTTTCCTAGGTCTCCAGTTAAATGTAGCTTCCTCTAGGAAGCTTTCTCAATCCTCAGACTGGGCAAATGTGGGTCTCTGTGTCCAGGTCTTCTGAAGTTGAGTAGGCCAAGCTTAGCTCCTACCATAATGGTGGGTCTGGCCAAGCAGCAGTGGCTCACATCTATAATCCTAACTACTCAGGAAGCTAAGATCTGAGGATCACAGTTTGAAGCCAGCCTGGGTAAGAAAGTTTGCAATACTCTTGTCTCCAACTAATCACCAGAAAACCAGAAGTGGCACTATGGCTCAAAGTGGTAGAGCACTAGCCTTGAGTGAAAAAGCCCAGGGGCAGTGCCTGGGTCCTGAGTCCAAGCCCTACAACCAACAACAACAACAACAAAAACCTGGAGGGGGAGAGGGAGAAAGGGGAGGGAAGGAGTTGACACATCTAGTAAGTAGGTTGGCAAGTAGACTAGGGGAGGAGGCTCTGGCCTTCCAAAGGAGTGTCCCACCTCAGATGAATGACGCCAGCAGTGGAGATGAAAGCCTCCACCAAGGGCCCTACTGGATAACCTCCTACACTGAGAAACTTTACTGCCTTCCCTCTAGGTGGGCTTTCCTGCTGTGTTCTGGTTTTGCCATATGAGGCACCTTGTGTAAGTTGCTTGGACTCTTTGTGCCTTTGCTTCCTCATTTGGGAAATGGGGGAATGACAACAGTATTACCTCATGAGGTTGACGCCATCATCATCCCTCTATTTTCTTAAGTTCTGCAGTGTGCTAGAACTGCACCTCCACAGGCAACCACGGAGTTCCTAGTGCTCTCCAGGGGCAGCTCTAGAGTACTGCAGTACAACTCAGCAAGTTCTTAATTCTTAAAATTGAAAGTGACTTTTACCCGCCTTCAAATAAAAAAAGAAAAAAGAAAAAAAAAAAGAAATCAAGCCAAGCTGGCCAGGCACGGTGGCTCATACCTGTTAATCACAGCTACTCAGGAGGCTGAGTTTAGAAGGCCAGCTCAGGAAAGAAAGGCTCTAGAAACTTCCTCTCAACTAATATAAAGCTGTGTGAGAGGACACAGCTGTCATCCCAGCCACATGGGAAGTATAAATAGGAGGATCTCAGTCCAAGCCAACTCAGGCCCCCCTCCACCCCAAAAAATCAAGACCCTAATTGCTTTAATAAGCAAAAAAGGACATGGAATGCCTGCCTAGCAGGTGCAAACCTGAGTTCAAACCCCAGTACTGCCTAAAACAAAATTTAACCCAAGGTGGAAACTGAGCACCAGTGGCTTATCCCTGTAATCCTAGCTCCTCAGAAAGTTCAGATCTGAGGCTTGCGGTTCAAAGCCAGCCTAGGCATAAAAGTCCTTGAGACCCTATCTCTAATTAACCAGAAAAATGCAAACTGGAGGCATAATTCAAATGATACAATGCCAGCTATGAGCAAAAAAAAAAAAAAAGCTAAGTAAGAACATGAGGCCCTGAGTTCAAGCCCTGGTTACCCAAGCTGATTTAAAGCAGGTAGACTGGGGAGGAGGCTCCAATACCTGGCTCTTTCTGCAACCTTCAAACCACCATTTCACTGCTATCACCTCAGAGATCTCTACTAATTAGCACTGGCCCTATAGTAGATACTAGGGACTGCCGTGAGCACCACATATAAAAATCCTCTGCTGCACTGACAGTGTAGTGTGGGCACAGAGTTCACCATACAACATAGCAGGTATTTGTAAGAGAAGAAAAATAAACAGGAAGTGAAAGGTGAGTTCTGTGGACATGTCATTTGGAACAGGAAGGACTTCCTTGTGAGTCAAGACATGAAGGAGAGCAGAGTACCATTAGCCCATGCCAGTCATTCTAGCTACTCAGGAGGCTGAGATCTGAGGATTATGGTTATAAGCCAGCCTGGGCAGGAAAGTCCCTGACACTCTTCTCTCCAATTAACCACCAAAGAGCCAGATGTGCAACTATGGCTTAAGTGGTAATCATCAGCCTTGAGTGAAAAAAAAAAAAAGCTAAGGAACAATGCCCAGGCCCTGAGTTCAAGCCTCAGTACCAGTCCCCCCACGCCCCCAAAAAAATTGAAGGAGGTACAGAAGAGAAACAAGTAGGTTTGGGTGGGAGGAACAGTCCAGATAGTGAAGAGCAACTACAAAGGCCTAAAGTAGGAGGACTGTGTTGTCTGGGAAGCGGGAACTGTCTTCTTCCCAGCTCTGTCCCTAGCAATTGAAATGGCACCTGGCATATGATAGTGTTCAATGAATATTACAAGAATGGATAAAAATTCTAGATATGAGCTTCAGGAACAGCTACTCTGAGCTCAAACAGTGACTTCTTTCTCCATCAGGTTTTCTCCTCAGGCTCCAAGACAGGGACTCAGCTTCAAATCCCATGCAAGTTGTAAGAACCTTTCTCAGTATTCCCATAAAAAAGCCCCAACATAGTACGATGAGTTCTCAAGTTGGTGACCTGCACAAAGTGACACACAGCTATTTAATCTCTTGCCAGACAT